GCGTAACTAAACATATGTGTGACACATATGACAACTAACGCGCATAGATAATTACTACGTAAATCAAATCTGCATCGTTTTGCATTTCGACCAGCAACGAGAGCAATCAACGGTTAATATTTTATACCACTTGCATCGAACGTGCCGAACTGCAAAAATCTGCACGAAACTTGTTCTACTATATGCTACGCTGAAAGTATTATTTGTCGTAATTCTCGGATTTAATATGTTAAGTGCACCGTGGAGTATTTTTATTCAACAAGTTATCGTCGCGATATAGTGAAAGCTTTCTGCAACTATAAAGGGTTTCTTGCAAAGTTAAAGTCGCATCTCACAAAATAAAGTCCCTCCTCTCGGTTCCTATGGCTTCTTTACTCGAAGGGATGCGATTGGCTTCGTTACGGTGCACGTGTTCAACAACTGTGTACGCCTGAAGCTCTAATATTGACAGCACGCATTAGCGGCCAAATTATGTAGCATATCCTGGGAGGTAAACATTCAACGGGGATATAAATAGAAAGCACAGCTTTTGATGCACGACACGATGTGCATTCTCGTTCGCACTCTAAAGAACGGTGCTCGCCTTACTACACATTTTCAAGATTTCTCAAGAAGCGCACTAATTGAAAAAATTTCGTAGATTAACACTGTTTACGATAATGAGGCAATACCATATTTTTGCTTTCAGATTCGTTCGACAAGATTTCATTTTCATCAAGCGTGCGTCATCGTTGATTTCGTGTGGATAACTATTTCAGCAATGTATTGCTTGTTATACACGCTATGTTGTACTTAGTTTTCTGCATGTACAATACTTGCATATTGATAGCCTCAACATAACACACATGAATCTTTTACCTATTATGTATGCAAATATCTTCATTATAACACCTCATATATTTAATATCTCACCTTAGCCCTGTAGGATTAAAATGCCATTTCTCCTATGCTGGTGTAAGATATCAAGATACAGTGAGGCTGTTCCTTTTGAGTTGAAGAAAAATATTTGCTAAGACCCCGAAAACTAATTAACGCGTACACAACTTCCCAGCAAATCCCTGATCTAAGGCATTGATAAAGGGGCCGTCAATACAATAGATCACACGACAGCGCGCGTGCCGTGCTTTTCAATGACGGATGTCAAACTGTAGTTTCAGGAGCAGAACATAGACTCAATTAAGAATTTTTAACGACACAACAACAATCGCGCAGCTCTGTGTACCGTGTACTACAAATTAGTTGAATATAATTAACTAAAGCGTTATATATGCGTCCATATTTTTCTGTTTTACGTAATTCGATTTTTAGAGTTTTCGACGAAAAACAGACAAAAATAAACGAACGTAAATGTGGCAGTCGGCGGATTTAGGAGAGCTAAGTTCACTTTACTTACTTTTAATTTTCCTTCTTCGTGTTTCTGCGCAGCTTGCTGTATCTCAGTCGTAATCATATCACACTTGAAGAATAAAAAACCGACGTACTATACACACTGCAGTATCTGAAGCGGGCATCCGGCTCGACTAGGCTAGCTCCATTCCACCTCGACGGGAATTGTTAGCACAATGTTTACATTCAAATTCTCAAATACAATAATCGATATTTCACGTGATCGATATATATATATATGGGTGCGCGAATCGTGCAGTTACTGTTCAGAAGAGCGGAGCAGTGCGTGCGGCTGCCTGGCTAGCCGACAATGAGCCTGTTGCCAACACCCGATGTTCTGCTGAGCCAGCAACCGAGAAGCTGTAGAACTCTAGCGCATTGATTTTAATGAAATTTCCGGAGGGCTTGCGGAATCTCACTGTGATTGCGGGTAAGCGGGGTTGTACGTGCCAGCAGGGGGGGGGATATGTTTTTTTTATTTTTTCTGATAATATTTCAGCAGTTGTTCTTCGTAGTGCTATACGTACTGTTGTTCGTACGTATAGAATTTTGTTTCTGGCAACGGGCCCCTGCTGCTTTTTTTATTCTTGCCATACCGAGATGGTTCGATTCTCCTCTTAGGGACTATACGTGTTGCAACAGCACACGCCGAACTCAGTCGACTTAACTGTGGTTTAGTCGTGTCAGGCCAGGCACTTTAACGTGTTACGCACCCGATTTATATTCTAATATTGTACACGCAATATGAGCACATATTGTTCAGCAGCAACGTTTACCATATACACACTATGTCGCATGGAAAATGTTGCATCAAAGTTTTCCCCGCACATCTTCTATGAAATGCGTGTTTATGCACGTTGGCCCAGTCACACATACGCGACGCACGGCCCGGGCATTGAAAAAATGGAAAATTATGATTTTCTTAATTTAATTTATTTTATTTTATTTTATTTTATTTTATTTTATTTTATTTATTTTATTATTTAATTAATTAATTTAATTTAATTTAATTTATTTTATTTTATTTAATTAATTAATTAATTTAATTTAATTAAGATTTTAAGATTAAATAAAAAAGAAAATTAAGATTAAGATCAGTGCGTCGTTGTGCGCCCAACTTTTGTCAGGATTTAGGAGAAGTTAGCGAGTTGACAACGAATGCACAGCGTG